GAGTGTCAGGTATTGTATGAGTGTTGTAATCACCACAAGCTAATAACCAAATAATTAATTCACACATACAAACATACTTGATACATATTACATACTTACATAAACCTACATGCATACACATAAAAAACACACATGACAACAAATTACCCAAATTAAATAATAGGGATCTCCCAATATAAAAACATGACAATATTTCTCATCAGGGGAAAAGCTGTCTTGCAAGAGTCACGCAATTGACACTTTTCACACACTGTCAAGCCACATATCAATTTTCTCACGCAGTGAAAAATAAATGTATAATTGATAACGTCGTCTCGCTGTGCGAATCATCTCCACCCAGCTGATGCAACGTGATTGTAATGAAGTGAACCTGCTCTCGCATTGTGAGTCACAGATTGCGTCGCAGTTTGTGATCGAGCGGTAACGTAACTGGTAGAGTTTCGCAATATAAACATCTAAAAACCGAGGCGCAAATTTGCTCTGTTTAGGACTGTGAGCTGCACCTTATCTATGGTGCTGAGGTTAATATGTGTGTGGATTTGTGGTGAGATGTGTTTTCAGTTAGTTTTGGTTTCCACCTCCTTGTCCAAACAGGTTTCTGTGCCTGTGTTATGACCCTGGGATCATATTTTGTATGTATTTATCTCTCACCCTGCAATGTCAGCTGTGTGTGTGTGTGAGTGTATGCAGGTAATGGAGAACAGGTGGGCACACTGGATTGGTCCTGCAGAGCTGATTGCTGCCTCCTGATTGGTCACCTGGATGACAGTAGCCATTTTAAGCCCCACTGACAGGAACCCCCCTCTCTCTCTCAGCCATTCCCAACCTGAGCCTGTGTACCGTGTGTTATGTCTTTGTTAGTCATGAGTAGAAAACTGTTGTGACCATACAAGACTTTGTAAGTGAACCTGTGTAGTACACATTGAACATTGAATAGCTTAGCTTTGTAATTCTAATTATTGTCATTGACAACCTTGTTTCATTGGCTTTATCTATTTTGTTTGTTATATACAGATTTTCTTTGTTGTAGCTGTGTTGTGTCGCTACTAGCAGTTTAGTAGGAGTGAGAAGCCCTTTTTGTTTACACCATTTTTCTCCTGTTTTTGATAATATAAGCCTAGTTTAGAGCTGTGTCTTTTCTTTACTTTTGGCTTAGGAAAGTTTTTTAGGTTTCTTAGAGTGTTTTGGTTGTTGTTTTGGGCGCTGCTCATCTCCGAAGCAAATAAAAACTGCTAAATTGTATTTCCTGTGTTCTGGCATTGCTTGGGAATTGGAAGAGTGGGAAGCCACACATTTGTTACATCCAGGATACCCCTAGACCTTGGGACGTAACACATGTCAGATGGTCTGAAGGGGATACTACCATATCAGCAGAGCAATAACATAATGCACATCAGAGTATAGGGCAGGTATACTTTCAAAAAATAATATGAGTTCTCAAAAAATTATGACGTAAATATTACGACAAAACAAAGATATGTGGGATGGATTTTGAATGTGCAGAACATGAGCAGAAAACTTGCTGAAACAGAGGAGCTATTCAAGTCCAGGAGTTTATAACTGACCTAAAGTGAATTAATTTATCATTGAAGTGAATAGGAGCACATGCACATTTAAAGAGGTTACTTCCCTAAACAAAAGACAAAAAAGAGGAGGAAAGACTAAATCATGCCTGTGTGAGTGTTGACTCGGCAGGGATGATATTAAATGAGAAAAGTTGATCTACAGAAGAAACATATCTGAAAGCAACACACAATACCTGGGAGCCTTACTGCATTACATTCCGTTATATTTTTATAATTTGAATTGTCTTGTTTTTTGTTAGTAGCTGCATTCTGTACAGTTTAGAGGCTGTGAACAGTTTTCCGGAGCTATGCCAGTAAGGAGACCAATACTGTAAACTAAACGTTAGAGAAATGAGAGCATGTATAATGGATTCAGGGTTTCTGAAGCTCAGACATGAATTTGAAAATTAAACAATTCTGTTAGTATTCCTTAGATGATATAAACAAGATTGGACAATGTTGCTAATATGCATTTCAAAATTAAAGTCGGAATCAAACAACACACAGGGTTTTGACAGAAAGCTTAGTATTGTCGGAAAAAAGACGATAGTGTAAGTGAGGAATTTAATTGCAGATTGTCAGGTCCAATGATAAGAATCTCACTTTTATCAGAATTTAGACATCCAGTTGTCAATGTCTATGACTTTTGTCTATGACAGCCTTTTATGATAGACAAACTAGTGGGGTTGTCAGGTATTACTGGGACGAATAGCTGTGTGTCCTCATCAGGATATTCCATCTAATCTACCAATAACCAGTCATGAGTCTTGTTTCTCTTTTTATGTGGGAAATGGTAGATCAGCAGTGAAAAACTTGGGGAGTTACCATTCACTGTGATAGGCAGATATGAAAGTTAGTTTCCTGAACAGGTGAATTCCTCTCGTATTGTAAAGTCTCAATTGACAGTTTGAGTATGAGTGAAAGTGAAGTATTTGAGAACTGAGAGGCTGATCGGAAAATGATATTCAGATTCTCCTGGCTTGCCCTTTTCATTCATCCCAAAGCTGTTACATCTCTCTCCCTGTTTCTGTCGCTCTATGTTCCTCTCTCAATTAAAGTGACTTCTTACAATGCAGCTGAGTTACAACGAACCCAATCTGGTTAAATGTAATTTGCACATTAAATACAATTCACTCTGCTTTTGTGAATCTTGGTTTGAGTGAGATAATAAAAAAATGCCTGCCTTCTGAATCAGTAAACACTACCTCATTCATATTGATGAAGAGAGCTGGAGGTAAAAATTTAAAAGAGACGACCTTTTTTCTTTTCTTTTTTTTTTTTTTTTTTTACAGTATCTACCAGTGCAGGCTGGATAGGAGAGATTTTGTTCAGAGGAATATATTACATAAAACAAATTAGTCAGCAAGATAGAAGAATGCCAGTGCAAACGGTCCGGACTCTTATTTCCATCCTTATGAGATAACCGTACCCATTAGAAGGTTAAAACTATTGTGGTGTCCCTGCAAAGACTCTGCCTTGGAAACAGCAGCAATCCATCTTTAAACTTTGATGCAACTAGAAAGCTCTCCTCATCCCTTCTCATCCCTTCCCCTCTGACCTGTCTGTCTGTCTGTCTGTGTGTGTGTGTGTGTGTGTGTGTGTGTGTGTGTGTGTGTGTGTGTGTGTGTGTTTGTGGAGTTGCATATGTGCATGAGATAGAAAGGGTAACAGCAAGAGAGGGAGCAGACAGAGCAAGAGATATGAGAGGGTGGGGCTGGGCTGTCTGCCACCCAGGCCCAGAGAACATAAAGAGAAAAATATGACCATAAAACCTCTCTATGACTATGAATACTAATACTGACTCTGTGAGGCAAACCAACCAGAGTCTGTCCTCTCTCTCTGTTCCCCTCTGTCTCGCTCAGACAAATGATGTGGCTTAAAAATAAAGCAAAAATAATGTGCTGCACACAGGCAGAATTGTAAAGCTTAGTATTTACACTATGTTATACACAAGACACTAAAAGTACAGACGGAGCGGGAAGATCAGATCATTTTTGTGGTTGGCTTTCTCACCAACTTTCAGCGTTACTGAAAGTTACAATACTGAAGATTTCAGATTTTAGCTTCACTGTATGTGTATGCGTATTGGGAACAACTATATAGTAAAACTATATCGTAAATCTACACATTCACACAGTTACAGTATTGCAAAAAAACAAGCAAGTATCTTATTAACCATTCTGTGAAATATTGGATAACAGTAATAATAATACACAAAATAAATTCACAATGGTTTTGAATATATCAAACCCCATTTTATATGTATGGTCAGCACTGTTTTCACCAATAGCCATTCACTGTATTTTCAGTAATTACCTCTCTTTAAAGTAGTTTTCATTGTTGGTGGCGGAATCTGCCATTCCCTAGCAAAATTCAAATTACCTAGTTAAACACAGGGAAACACATGACACGAAGCATGAATGTGTTTGAGCGTTACTGTTAGTAATTGTATCTATTTGATAGAGGCCTCCCTGTTTAATGATCAATTTTGCAAACCGAACATTTCCTATTGCTGCTGCTTCACATTAGAAGTGTTCAAATGGCGAAATACTGGATGGCTTTTAATCCTCTCGGCACACGGTGTGGTTGGCTGTGTTGTAAATAGACACACCAGTTGCTCTACTTGTGTTGTATTACTGATACAGTAGTTGTTTAAGGCACTTTTACAACAGAATATTGGGGACCTGTAGTACAACACACCTGCTGTTACAACCGGTAACCCACAGATCTCACCAAATCAATCGAAACTGAGATTTTAAGGATTATAACTTGTAAAAAAGAAGGTTAACAAGTGACTGAATTTGCACTGAAGCTGGTTTTGAAATATAACAACAATTAGAATCCGGAATACTTAATTTTATGTTATTATCATTCACAAACAATTTTTTTTTTTTGTTTCATGCCATGGTTTTAAAATTCCCAAAGGTCAGGTGCTCCTTACAAATACCTTTACTTTCATGGTACCCCCACCCCCCCACCTTGCAGCAAGCCTTTCCCTGACAAATGTTGGAGTACAGAGGAAAAAGTCGTAATCTCCCAAGCATTTCTAATGAGTTTTTCTCCTACAATTATTTGATAAGAGCAGACAAGACTGGAGGCAGCGTGTATGATACACTAGCTCCTACTGCCGAGGTGAGAGCTCCGCTGATTAAACACAGAGCCATTTACACACACACACACACACACACCCAGAGGCTTACAGTCCGTCATCTCAGAGTGCAACAATCCTAATAATAACATGAGAGGCTGAAGTTATGACCGGCAGGCACACCTAAGTTACCAATCTGGGTCTCCTTATTCTGAACACACACACACACACACACACACACTACAACACCTAATCTTCACCACCATTCGACTTTGCTCCAGCATAACCACTACCTCCCCACACTTTCTCCTCCACTTGCTTACAGCGCATTCCACCTTCCAACTCACCACACTGAGTCCCAGTTGCTCTCTCTGCAGGTAGGGCAGGTTCCTGCGCTCCAGGCTGGCCAGATAGTGCTGTAGTCTGGAGTAGGTGTAGGGGTAGCAGTAGGCAAACTGGTATACGTCGTCCTCTCGGTCAAAACAGAAGGCAAAGGACATTACATAGTTGCGCCGGTGGTCAGGGCAACGGTAGTAATACACATTTTTGGCTGGTAGCCTCTGCCTGCAACAGCAAAAGACAAACGCATTATAGAGAAATTAGAGAGGTCATTTACCAGACAGGTCTTTTAATTCAAGGACATGAGGTCTAGAAAGGGTTAAGACCGCATCGGGTTGAGATATGCGGAGATATGAGGAACAATGAGGGCACAGCAAATTTGCAAGAGAAAGAAAAAAGTGCAAAAAGTATATGACAGCAAGGAAACAGTGAATGAGTTCTACACAGAGAGTTGAGAAATCATAATGCAGAAGTTGCATCAACTTTGTCGTCTTCCAGAGATGTTGCGTTCAGCTGGAAAAGGAGTACAAGGACTAAAAGAAGTGAGGAGGTATAACCTGATGTCTGAGAGGTTTTAACTTGTGAAGGGTGAATGTTAAAACAAACAAACACACAAGATTTATGTTTTTTTGTTTGTTTAGTTTATATGCAAACAACAATATATGCTCAACAATTCGCTGATAAATTATCAAAAAATTCAACATTGAGGGCTCATTTTATTAAGGGTAGAGTAGATTTTAAGCAAACAACAATTACTGATGATTAATCACGGCTTTGTGATTCATTATTTGTCATATAAACATCACAATTGCCATTAATTATTTAAGGCAAACTCAGGAAGCACAGACATAACAAAATGAAACCAATAGATTAGATAGATAGATAGAATAGAAGGAAAATGAATGAACCGCAAAACAATACAAGTGATAAATAGTCAACTAGCTTAATAGATTAAAGGGAAATTGATTTAATTTTTGAGATTTCAAATATCTGTGTCTTTCAGAAGGTTGTTTCCCTTCAAAAATGAAAGACACAACCACTGTAATTAAGCAACAAAACTGACTGGTGGTGAATGATCAAACAGCGTATACATAAGATCACTCAGCGATCATGCATGCAAACTGACACCCAGTCACCCTAATTCCAGTTTTGTATTGTGAGTGAAGAATGACAGAAACCCACTACCGATGTTCGTACATCATGGTTGACAAAAATGACTTACTGTATATGTCATTCATTGGCTCTCCTTGCTTGTCTCCTTAAAGGTTTTCCAGACATTCATACTCCAAACACAAGTGAACTCACCTTTTGACCTGTGCTTCTAATTTATCAGGCAACTGAATAATTTTATATTCCAGTTTGTGCCTGCCAGTATCAAATGTGGCCACCTGGTGTTTTCAGCATTGTATTTTAAAAGGCAGCAATTTCCCAGGGAACAAAAGAGATTTTAATTATGACGACTATGACAGCATTGTTCTATACGCTGTGTTTTGCATGATGTGTAATTTAGAATTGCAGTCCTGAGTGATAGGCAGAAAATGTGCACTTAATTCTCAAGTTGTAGTGTAAGTGTGTGAGCAATTTAGTAGAATGCTGTAGAATGAGGGACAGGTAAGCGTCTAATCTGTGTATCAGTGTGTCATATTTCTTGTGATGTTGAGCTTTGTGCAGTGTTTGTGATGTGCTGCATGCGTTGAGCCTTCTATGTCTTCTCCGTTGTGTGCCATGGTTGTGTACTTTGTACTTGCATGCTGAGCCCACAGTGAAATAAAGCTGACTGATACATGCACCTCATGAAGGATCGATGGGGTATGGGACAGTCCTGCTGCAGTCTACAAAACTTCTCTGCTTACTCGACATGTTTTCTTTTCACACTGTGTCATCCATGGGCGGACTGGCACAGTAATTCAGGCCGGGAATTTGACTCGCTGTTCACACAAACCACCAAACCGCTAATTTGTTGATGTGACAGGTATCAAACCAGGTATAGTCTTTGCCACCATGTTCTACTGACTTTTGGGACTGATCATTGAAGTTGCCTATGTGAACACTGAGTTTTCAAGGTATGCTATGGCAATGGGTGTACCCTCAAAAAAAAAAATTGCCTAGGCTAGCTAGCTACACTAACAATAGGCAAATACAAATGTACAAGGCTAGACACAAAAATTAAGTCTAGGCTACACTTTTAAAGAATGGAGTGAGATATACTAAGTTTGCTCAATCATATCATGTCACACACACCCATGTTCACTGAACGTGAAAATAACCTAGAACAACGAAAGTAAATAGGTCTATAATGCAAAAAGAACTCCTACAGCCCAAAACCTATTGATTACAATGTTCAGTCACCCATGTCTATAAAGCAAACAGCAAAAAAATAAACGCATCTATATTTCAATCATTTCTACTACATAGCCTATAGGCTACTTAATGTTTTCTATAGGCCTAGTCATTAAAGAAAATACAGTTGCGGAGATTCAGTACAGCAGCCATTGCCATGGTTACAATGGCGTTTGTTCACATGAGGAGCACACCGAGACCCCGCGGATCCAAAACAGTACACAGGAGGAGGGTTGCTCGCTGTCTGAAAAGGCTTTATACACACAAACACTAAAACATGTGGCCAGCTGCGTGGAAGCTCTTAACACCGGCAGAGAAACAGAGAGAGAGACGGGGGCGGTGCTTCATCACAGGGCCCACCTGCTACCAAGTCATTTATGCCAAGTTTACATGACCCCTGACCCACTCCGAAAGTCCACTGAGTCCATCCGCGTCGTGGCTACCAGAGCTGATCGCAGCCATTCTAGTCAATGCTTGTACTCACACCAGAAGCGCTGCAGTGTGTCCCGGAGTGTCTCTCCACTCCGCTACAGAGAGAATACACAGCCGGTGTATTTCTGCGCGGCTTCCGTCAAACAGCACAGAGCAGATGAACTGTGCAGATCATAGTATTCATAGTAGAAGCACAAAAAGCAAGCACCAATCACCAAATCAACAAAATCTAAACATGTCAGCAAAATAAGGCAGGCAAAATGCTCTTATTCTGAAATGCTCCCTGTGGAATGACAGAACAAAAGCGGGCCACAGAGAGCTGTGAAGAAGGTAGTAGAAGCACAAAAGGACAAATTAAAAATAAGTCATTTACGTGGGGCAGGCTGCACACTCTGCTGCTGAAATGCTGAGAGGCATCCAGTGGAAGTTGATGCCAGGCTGAGGACGGAACAAAAGCGTGGTCCATACGTAGACTGTGTGAGTCCAGGATGATAGGCTACATAGTAGCCTACGTCCACGTGCACCCATGCAACCTCTGCTTATGGAGATCAATAACTTAGGTGTGGGCACACACCATGTGATGGTTAAGGTTAGACTAACCGGCTTCAGGGGGCTGTCACTTAACATGGCTAGCTAGCTAGCTAGCAGTATCAAAGAGAGGACGACAAAGATAGGTGAGAGCACTAGCAGTTTGGCTGTCGGGAGAGTTGGGACATTTCCCAGTGGCCAGAGGGCCGTTTTGGCCTGCCATTAATTATCAACTTGACCAATGGCAGCGATAATATAGCATGCTTTTTTATAGCAAGGAGGAGAATAAGCGCATCCGCCGTGTCCGCATTCTCTCTTATATGCATGTCAACCAGTTAACCCTGTCTGTGCACAGCTGTAGGGTTTGTGTCATTTTTTCGTGTTGCTTTACATTACCACCCCCAATCCACTAGACGGCGCTGTTGCAAAAGAACCACGGTCTTAGAACTGCGGTCCCAGGACTGGGGGGTATCCTGAAACTGCAGCTGTATAATACTGTGTTAAGCGCTCACCTCTTTGACATGGTCAGATGATGTTGCATTCATGCAAGTCACTGTATTTGTCTCCTTTCCTTTTTCCTGTCTTTCTCCAAATCCCTCTTGTCTTGTCCTGTCACTCAGCGACTCTGCCTTGACAGTTTACGACCAAGCATGGGGAACAACTGCGCTGCCATAGAAGTTCTGGCAGGCGCTCTGACAGAAGAGGATAAAAGGGGGGAGAAGATGAGGACAGTGAGTGACTTGTGTGTTTGGGATGTTGGGAGCAGGGAGAAAGGTGGAATAAGGAGATAAGAAGAAGATGAGAGAGCAGGTGATGGCAGATCTGCGCCTGATACGGAGATATACGGGAAGGGATGGTGGCTAGCAGCGTAGCGGCTGTGTGATGGCGGGGCTGGCTACTGAGCTAGCGTCTCTGGCAGCAGATCAGATGAAGATGCTATCAGGGCTGTGATAGGAACAGGACTTGATAATCAACAAACAGGGCAGACTTCTGTGCGCTAACTCTGTCGGAGTGAACTTCTCTCTCTGACTCACCTCCGAAGAGCGAGGACAGGAAGGAGACACATGAGAGTTTTATGTGTTTGCTCAGACACCTAATACATCAGGTCTGGTGACAGACTTGCATAGAAATGCCCAGTGAACACACTTGCATGCATTTCCAAACACTAGAAGATGTCCCTACAGGTACCTAGTAAAACAAAAAGCTAAATCACTTGGCCTCTCTCAGACAGAGGAGAAGAAGGGAGAGAAAAGAAGGGCTGATTATTCCTTCAGCAGAGGAGAAAGGAGAATGTATCTGCATGTGGCTATCTCAGCAGAATACTAATGCAGCCAGTGGCTAGCTATACCACACCCAGCCTTCCCACTGGAGCCACCTTACTAGCCTTGTCTTACAGCCTGTAAAGCTGGACAAAGAAGTAGAAGACAAAAAACAAGACAAATGGTTAATCTTGGAAAAATATTGCAAATGGTTTTCCCCCCAATGGTACATGAATATTATTCCTAAAACCGCATGGGTTTGAAGAAGAGCATACTGTGAATAAAACTGGCCGGCAAGGACAAAATAAACCTCCATGTGACACACTCATCCCAAACCCACGCGCACACTGGTACATTACTGTGGTGCCAGCCCTCCAAGGTGCAGGTTAATTAAAATAAGATGACACCTCACCTCTTTACATATTTCCCTGTTTGACTCTGCCCATCCATGTAATCCCACTTCTCTCTGTTTCTCCTTCTTGTTCTCTCTACTGGGCAGCGTGTGACCTTGCCGGAGACTGGAAAAGTCCTGGCTATTGATTTTAATTACTGCTGCTTGTCCCATCACAGCACTATAGTTATAGGCCAGAGAAAATAGCTCTGTTACTTCTTATGGAAAGAGACCGCCTGGAAGGCCTGAACTACAAGCTAAGGCTGTACCTGCTT